TTAACAATCATTTGGCTAGCTATGGTCAGCTATCTTGTAATGTTGATGTTCATAATACAACATCTAAGCTATCATTTCTACTGCAGCATCGAATAATTCTCGCCACTGTTAAAAGCTTCCATAATCAATACAAATGAGGATTTAATTACTTTGTGATGACTGTCTTCTAAAGGAGCTCTCCCCCATGCCTCTTGATTTTCCTGGTTTCCTTCAAGACTCAGCTAATATCCCACCTTCTACAGGAAGCCTTTCCCAGTCCTCTTCAATTTTAGTTTCTTCCCTGGGAGACTACCCTAGTTCATCCTGGATTCATCTTATTTGTACATAGTTGTTTACAAGTTGTATTCCCCATTCTACTGTGAGCTCCTTGCTAGCTCGGACTGCCTTTTACTTTTATTTGTATACTCAACATTTAGCACATAGTAGGAGTTTATTAGTGCTAGTTGACTGAATAATAAAAACAAGTGTACAAACAATATCAACAACTTTAGTCTAGGATGATGGCCCCACACTCTTTAAGTATCTTTAAGATACTTTAAGTATCAGGAATAATTTTCATCTCAAGGGATTTTATGAACTCTCACTGATTGAAAAAATACAAGATAAAAAGTTAATATGTGGGGCAGCTAGGTGGTGCAGTGGATAGATTTCCAGCCTTGGAGTCAGGAGGAACACTTGACACTTACTAGCTGTGTGACCCTGGATAAGTCACTTAACCCTGATTGCCTCACCAAAAAAGCCAAAAAATAAAAATAATAATAATAATAAAATTAAAAGCTACTATGTGATTCAGAAATGCTCTTAAATGAATTTATATTTTATTAATCACAATAACACTTACATGGTCTAAACCTAGAGGTAGAGAAGCATGGTGACTATGGAGCCAGCCTTAGGGTAAAGAAAACCTCTCTGTACTAGGAAATTCTCTGAGAGAGTAAGTGGAAGAGCAGGTAACAGTCTGAACTGGTAGAGGGAGTTTGTCCTGGTTAACATTTAAGGTCTTTCATAACCTGTTCCTCCCCTACCTCCCACATTTCTAATTTTCTTATGCCTTACTCACCCCCATGTACTCTGGGATACAGTGACATTTACTTCCTGCTGTTCTGTCTCCTGATTTTGGTTATTTTCACTGGCTATCCTTTAGGTTTGGAATCCTCTCGCTCCTCATCTTCACTTTCTGGCTTCCTTCAAATCCTAGCAAAAATTCTACCTTCTACAGGAAATCTTTCTTGTCCTCCATCAATTCTAATGCTTTCCCTTTGTTGAATATTCCCTATTTATACTGTATATATCTTATTGATACACAGTTGTTTGCATGTTGTGTTCCTCCAGCCATGGGATCCTTGAGGGCAGAGACTGTATTTTTATTTGCATCCCCAGAGTTTAGCCCAATGCCTGGCACACAGTAGGTGCATAATAAATGTTTATTGACTGACTGACTGCAATAGAGCTTTCCCCAACAGTCAGTCATAGTTTTTGTTCCAGGTCAGTGAGCAGATTACCCTAGGTTCATTTTCAGGAAATGCTAAAACAGATAATGACCTAGAAGAGTGGGGAGCCAAAGTGACAGAGTGGAAGAAAGGGCTAGATCTGGAGTCAGGGGAGGCCTGCCTGGGCTCCGAGGGGACTAAGATGTGAAGCTCGGTGTGCCCATACCAGGATGTGGCAGAGGCATGCCTTAAACCCAAGTCCTCTTGCCTCAGAAGCAGTTTTCTATCCACTATGTCAAGCTCACACACCTACCAACTGTCTTCTTGAAGAAAGTGCAAGGCTTCTGAATAATCTCCAAATCTTTGGCCATCTTCCTTTTTTAATCCCAAACCTGTGAGCTATTTTTCTATTTGGCTTAACCTCTTTGACTTTTGGCTTCTTCTATGGCAAGAATATGCATCTCCATATGGATACTTTTCAGTTCTTTCAGTAGTGGCCTCCCTGAGCTCCAGTCCCACATCACCAACTGCCTGTGGACATTTTGATATGGTGTCCTATAGTCATCTCAAACTCAACATGTCTGAAACACAATTCATTAACTTTTCCCAAAACTTATCTCTCATCTGATCTTCCCTATTTCTGTAGAGGTCACCATCTTTCCAGTCAATCAAGTCTGCAACTTTGGTATATTTCTTGACTCCTTTTTCTAGGTTACCCCATACATCCATTCAGTTGCCAAATCAAGATATTTCATATATGTCCTCTTATCTCCACTAACACAGTGAAAATGCAAGTACAGGCCCTCATAATGTCTCTCTCGGACTACTACAGCAAGTTCTAATTGGATTCACTGACTCAAGTCTCTTCCCACTCCAACCCATGCTCCACAAGGCTGCCGAAGAGTTTCCTCAAATTTAGGTCTAACCATGTGACCCCTACCTCTATCTTCCTGGCCCCTGCCATAAATTCCAATGGTTATTACCTCTAGGATCAAATAGAAGCTCCTCTGTTTGGCATTTAAATCTTGGGCACCACCTAGGCCCATCTTAATTTTTCAGTCCTCTTACATATGACCCACCCTCCATGCGCTGTGCAATTCAGCCTACTGGTCTACTTACTGTTCCAGAAACGTGACGCTTTCTACTTCTAGTGCTTAGCACAGCATTTGAGCCTTATTAACAACTTAATAAATGCTTGCTGACTGACTGATTCAAAAACTTGTTCACTGTGATTCAGGTTTGCTGAACTGCAAATGTGACAAAAATTCATGATATCTGGATGTCACACGATGTGTGCTAGACAAGAAAATTGAGAACACGGCACCATATCAATTAGACAAAAGCAGGAATTTAGGTACGTTAGGTATAGAATCAGGAAGAGGGGATGAATTTGTAATTTCATTGGTATAGGGAACTCCAGGATGAGGAAAGCCACTCTAGCAATGTAGGTCACACCTTCTCCACAAGTGAGAGTCTTCAGAGAGCTGAGGAGCGAATACAGTGAAAGTGTAAGTGACCTTCCCAGGGCTCCAGAGCCAGTGTGTCAGAAGAAGTGTGTGCACTCAGGTCTTCCTGGATCTAAGGCCAGTTTTCTATTCACTATGCCGTGTTGCCTCTCATTAAGTAGAATAGTAAAAAATACAAATTGAAAAATGCTGATAACATGCAAAGATATTAGTAGGCATGATGAGCCCTAAAAACATATGCTATCATTATTAGAGAGACGGTAAAAAACAAAACAAAACAAAACAGGCATATCACTACTATATTGATTCTATTAGTTACACTGGTAAACAACAGGAAAAAAAATCACAAGTGACATCTTATATGAAGTAAAATGACATATTTAGTCTATTAACGTAGTCTAGTTAAGTATGTAAATTTAGTATTCTGCTAAGATCCACATCAAAGACTCACTTGATGCCTTGTTATGGCACGCTCTTCACCTTGGTACTTAAAGGCTCTGCCAGCAAACTGACAACTTTGGCAGGTCCCACTAAATAGGAAAGGCTTTGTGAGGTGACTCAGCAGTATAGCAGAGTCACCATCTGAGTCTGGAGACACTTATCACTGATAAGTTAGCTAGTAGGTGGTGATTTTATTGTGGGGAGTAGAGGGGTGGGGGAAAGGCTGAGGGGAAGTGTGTAGAGAAGCAATTTATCCACTTAATGGACTAAAACGGTGACTGTTTAAGAAATGTGGTAGGGCAGGACCCCACTTTTTACTTATGAAGAAAATCAACAATGAAAATATAACTAGGGTGACAGTCATAAACGATAATGACCTCATGCCAATGAAAGCACTATCCACCAGAAGGTCACAAGTAGCCATTCTAAGGCCTGTAAGGGACAAAACATCTCCTTAAACACGGACATATTTCAGGAATGGTAGAAATAGTTATTATAAAATTTGATGACTAAGGAAAGTTTGGTTCTGAGAACTGTTATGCCAATGGTTTCCAATCTTTTCCTGATGGGAAACTATGTCTGATTTCTTGGATGTCCTAAGACTGCTACAGAGGAAGACCAGGGGAGTTGGATGCTAGTGACAGTAGGGAGGTTGGTGGGGATGAGACAAGGCAGGTGGCTCTAAGGGCTTTCTACAACTCACGTACATGAGGGCAGAGCTACGGAAATCAACCAATCAGTTGGAAGAACATGATCAACCAGTGGTAAGTATTGCGAGATACAGAAGAATAGCATTTTTCAGTGATGGCAAATGAGAAATTTAAAAGATTAATAAGATTAATTCAGTGACTTAATTTCTTTCTAGTGCAAGATTGTTCTCTATGGCATATGTTTACTGGTGCAAAGTCCTTCTATTCCCCCCAATTTGACTTCTTATTTCAATTACGATGCACAATGTACCTAAGCTTTTGAGATGCTATAAAGCATGCCTAAAGAACACGAGCCCTGCCATTAATTTACTTAGTAAATGATACAACTACGTCATTGGCTTAAAAATATCAAAGGATTCTCTGGTTTTGTAGTACCTTTTAATTTACTCTGTTATCTATGTTGCAAAATTTGGTCTGTCTTCCCAGTATTTCCCCAGTAAGTTCTGCCATTTCCCCAGCATTTCACAACCAGCAAAGAATTTTTAGGTGGGTATAATATAGCATGAAAATATAGCTCCACTAAAACTCCTTTAAGTGTCTAAGGTTCCTTTATCTTTAGATGTCATTAAAATGGAATTTTGGAACATTACTTGTTGATGAGGAAGAAGAAATGGTGCATTACTCTGAGGTGTTTGCCACACTTGAATAATCTAAAATCTGCTATTGCATTGAAGAAAGAATATGCAAATCAACAATCACCAATCAATCATCAATCAACCAATAAATATTTTTAAGTGTCTACTATGTGTCAGGCACTGTGCTAAACACTGGTTGGAGATAAACATAATTTATAAGAGATTTTACTATCACAGCAACCTAAAACGTCAGAAACACGGCCTTTGAAACAATGTGACAATAATGTGAAACAATAATTTGACTAAATATCTATTAATGCTTCTTTTTTTTTAGTTTAAAAATATACAACTAATTTAAAAAATTCTTCATTTTCCTACCTGAATTAGATGTGATGGCACTGTGATGACACAGGCTGAGAGGGACATTCTGAGAAGACCACGGAGGACATACAGGAATCTTGTAAGACTATGCATATGTTCAGGGGTGTCAGCACAGCAGATGTCATCTCCCCACAAAGGTGAGCCAAGACTCTGAATCCCAATTCTTAAAATGTTTTTTTGTTTTTTCTAAAAGACAATGGAAGAAAGTAATTTCTTAATCTTTTGATTAATTGGAAGGAGCATATTTATTTTACATGTGTCAGAATACACTGTTTTATTTACATAAAGACTTGGGATCAAAAATCAAAAGTGAGGTATAATGTAAAAATTAATTGATCAAAGTACTGAAAAAAATCCGTTTGCTTCAGGTATTTATTAAAGCCAGGCAGTTAGGTAGTGCAGTGGAAACAGCGCCGGGATTAGAGCTGATCTTTCTGAGTTCAATCTGACCTCAACACTAACTGTGTGACCCTGGGCAAGACACTTAACCTTGTTATCTCAGTTTCCTCATCTGTACAATGAGCTGAAGAAGGAAATGGCAAACCATTTCATTATCTTTGCCAAGAAAACCCCAAACGGGGTCACAAAGAGTCCGACACAACTGAAATGATTGAACAACAACATTTATTATAGCTAATATTTTACTATAAAAAGTTATGAGAATAAAATTAATTTTCCCCTTTTGAAAGTTAATTATTTCTAAAAATATGAATGTAACTATCAAATCTCTATTAGTATAAAAAGGTAAGAAATTGTATTAGCTTTACAATTCACATAAAACAATGAAGGAAAGTTCAAATAAGAATTTTCAAGATTAATTCCTTTGAAGTTCTTACATTAAAACATGAAAGCTCTTGGCTAAATCTGTGTTATTTAACCACAACTTTTTTTCACTGTATTCTATTATAACTGAATGTTGATGGTAGTGATGGCGTCTGGGGGAGGGAAGGTTAATCTTAATTCTTTATCTCTGAAAAGGTTCAATCTTATCTTTATTGTTATGAAGTAATTAAAAAAAATAAACTTCCAGGATCTTACAAACAATTTGTATTAAATTTGCTCATTCAACAAATAGTTGTTACGCACCTCTTAAGTGGCATGCACTATGTTAAGAGACAGGTATACAAAATCAAAAATCAAAGTCCCTGACCCCAAAGGCACTTACATCAGGGGAAACAACATGTATCACTCATATCGAGACAGAAGGAGTAAATGCAAGGTATTTTGGCAGGTGTTTTGGGGAGCAGAGCACTGGAAGATCAAGATAGGTCTCATTGAAATGGTAGTGTCTGAGCTGAGTGTCTAAGGAGACCAGAGATTCTGAGAGGCAGCCGCAAGGAAGGACTGTCTTCTGGAAGGGGAACAAGCTTTCCGAAAGCCCGTGAGGGTCATGGGCAAGGGACAGCAAGTTGGCCAGACTGACTGGACCATTAAGTGCATGAAAGGGAATGATGGCTAGTAAGCCTGGAAGGCAGGTTTTAAATACAAAACAGAGAAGTCTGTATTTGACATCATCATCATCATCATCATCCTCACTAACATTTATACAGTGCTTACTATGTGCCGGGCACTGTGCTAAGCACTTGACATATGTCTTCTTATTTGATTCTTACAACAACCCTGCAATGTGGGTACTATTATTATCCCCATTTTACAGAGGAGGAAACTAAGACAAACAGAGGTTATGTGACTGGCCCATGGTCGTATGGCAATGTATCTTAAGTCAATATTGAACTTGGGTCTTTCTGACTCCAGCCTGGTGCTCCAGCCACCGTACAGCCAGCTTCTCCCCAAAGGCAATAAGGAAGAACCGGAGCTTCTTGAGCAGAGGGAGACATGGGGAGACAAAATGGTGCAGGGGAAAGAACCCTTGAGTGTAGAATCCACAGACATCAGTCCAAACCCTCCCTTGTCACCTGCTTCCTCTGTGACTTTGGACTAGGCACAACCTCTCTCAGCCTTATTTTTCCCATCTATAAAATGAGAGTATTGGATCAGAGAGCCTTCTAACATCCTTCCAGCTCCAAATCGATGGTCCAATGAGTTTTGGCAGGTAGATGGGGCCCAGCTTACAGAGGGAGAGACAGGAGAAAGGCTCTGTGGAGGAGGCAGCCCTTGAGTTGAGCCTGAAAGGAGAGGAGTATCCTGCTTGACAGAGATTAGGAGCAAGTATCCATCAGGCACGGCAGCGAGGGCTGGTGCAAATGTGTGGGGGTCAGTGTTAGCTCGATGTATCTGGGGAACAGCAGGGCTGGAGAGCAGAGATGATGAGGGGGGAATGCTGCACAAGGAGGAAGGAAGGGGAGGAGGCAGCCGGACAGGAGGGGATTTGAAATGCTAGGATAAGGAGTTTGCATTTTAACCTCGTGGCAACAGAGAACCACTGAGGGTTTCTAAGTAGTGCGGTAAGTAAAAATTCTTATGGTCAGACTTGTGCCTTAGGAAGTAAAAATCCCAGAGCTGGGACCCAAAGGTATTTTACATATTGACAGCAAGATCCTGGCAAAAGGAAGAGGGGTTTTCACAACCCATAGAGGTGACCCATGCTGTTTGCCAGGGCCAATAACTTTTGACTTGTCAGGTGTGGGGCAACTATCTATGCCATTCTAACAAAGGAGATACTTCTGCAAAGGCTTACATGAGCTATTTTAGTCATAAAACTTTCAAGAAAAACCTGGAGTGAATAAAAATAAACATCTGCCAAGGGTGAACATTCAGAAAGCTATCTGTATAATTCTGACAGGAAAAAAAAATGAAATGAACATGTTATTTAAACATGTTTTACCTAGAAACAAAGGCTTGATATTCTATGATATTTAAGTTTTCTAGAATTTAGATGGTAGGGACCTTAGGGGTAGTTTGTCCAAAGCTTTCATTTTACAAGTAAGGGAACCGAGGCTCAATGAGGTGAAGTGATTTGCCCAATGTCGTGTAACTAGTAAAACAGGGGGTCCAGAATGTGAAACCAGTTTCCTTGATTCCGAATTCAGTGCTATCACCGTAGGCATAGTTTTTAAGGAGGCAAAAAGAATCATAGATTTAGAGCTGCAAGAAAGCTGAGGTTCCACTTAGTCCCATTACTTTACAGTTGAGAGAACTGAGGCCCAGAGAGCTTGAATGATTTGCCCAAAGTCACACAGATATTAAATGGCAGAATGAAGCTTCACTTTCAGCTCCTCTGATTCTCAATCCTAAGTTCTTTCTAGCACCCAGAAGGACGTCAGCTCTCTCTGGGCATGGTGATCCAAACAAACACAGGGAAATCCCAAGACATTCCTGGTTTAGCACCTTAACCACCAGGCCACGATAAGATATCAGTTACTTCTGCATCAAAGTGAACCACTCAAAATGATGCAGAAATCCTATGAAATTAAATTCTTTAATTCTTCCAACAGGTATATCTCAGCCCAATGAACCTGATCCTTGAACTCACAAGTAGGCAAGCTGCGTGTTCTACTTTATTCAGTCAGTATCTTGTGGATGGAAGAGAGCAATAATAATTAAAGGGTTTAAAAGTTAGTTTGGAGAGAAAAGATGAAAAGGAGTCATCAGCACATTTCAACAATGGGAAGGGATTCTGTAGTTTAGAGAAGATCAAAGGAATGTGCTTGTGTCACAGTGGCAGGGGTTAAATCCATCCTGGGAAGGCACCCCAGGGATGCATGGGTACTGAGCCTCGGCCATGGTCTTTCTCCAATCTTCCTTTCTGGGTACTATGGTAAGCCTAGAATAGGCTATTACAGATACGAGGTGCCCTCTTATAGTAAATAGAATGGATGGGCTAATGCTTTCCAGCAAGTGGCAAATATCGAGGGATTTTGTTGTTAGGGCAAATAAAGAGAAAGAGTTCCACAGAAAAGTCACTTTTAACCCAGCAATTTATGGTAATTCTATGTAGCTTCTGGACGCAGTGACTCAAGCACAGATAACACTGTGATTAAGTCACATCTAGGGATGGTCACTGGATCACTGCTGTAACACTGAAAGGGCCTTGGAAGGGTGTTTGCTGATAATTGCTAGAATTTCAAAGGTATTTCTGGTGGAAGGGCTGGGAAAAATGGGGAGAAGTAACTCTTCAAAATCTGAGCAGAGTCTGAGATCATCAAGAATTCCTGTTCATATTACACACTGAAACTGTAGTTTTGTTTGGAGTCTCCAAAACAAAAATGAGACATGAGGGAAGCAAAGAAGGAAGGCCATGAATAAGCCTGAAGGGTAGGGGTAAAATGTATAATTAAGGGATGGCAGCATCACTTTGTTAATACCTGTGCCTATGTCTGATAAAGTCACATCCAAGTCATTAACTCAGTATCATCACTATCATCATCATCATCATCATCATCATCACCATCATCATCACCATCATCATCATCACCATCATCATCACCATCATCTTCAACACCATCATCATCATCATCACCATCATCATCATCATCACCATCATCACCATCATTATCATCATCATAACCACCTTTATCAATATAAAATACTTAGCAAGTGTATAAATGAACATGCTGCTTATACTAAGCACTGAATGTAGAAAACAACTTCAAAAACCTTGGAATCACAGCAAGATACCCTGACATGGACAAATATAGAGCAGAATTAAAATACTAAACCAAGAGATGAATGACTGGCATAGCAATTAAATACCATATAAGTCAAGAGTGAATTCATGCTATGGGGAAGGGACAGGATATTACATAAGCAGGATAAGGATTCAGAAGAAATAGCCATGTCTACTATGATAATGATAAAGGAATATTTAGATTAATTTTACAACTTTAAAAATATACAGAAGTAGATGCTCTTTTTAAGGAGCCAAATGATAATCCAGGAGGTTTCTGATGTTTTCAGGACATGCTTCCACACCTCTAATCAGAGCTCCCCACAGCATAACTATCACATCAGAGGCCATGGTAGGGTTACACATTTATCCCTGCAATGAAACAGACTTGCACGGTGATAAAAAAAACATTAGAAAAAGTACTTTTTTTTGGTCTAAAGAAGGCAGTTAACAGTGAGAAAAAACATCAATTTAAAATTTCTGAGGCGTATTATCCCTATGTTACACTACAAATTAATGAGAGTCATGCTTGCTATTATGGAATGAAATAATTAGCTAAGCACAAGAGTCATAAAAATTGTTCCTGTGAAACTGAGTTCTATTTAAATTATTAGAACTCTTTAGGTTAAATATTAAGTTAAATTAATTCCAACGTTGTGTTTTCATTGTGCTTTTAAATTTATACTGTGAACTGTTTGTATAGTCTTAATTCATAGTTTAAAATTAAACTGAATTATGACGGCAGTTTGTAAATATGTCCACTCCATGCATTTCCACTGATGAAATGCACTCTCTCATTAACTGGCTGTGTTAAATATTTCCTATTTCTTTTCTTTGGAAAATAAATCTATATGTCCTCTTCTAAGTAGCTGGGTTTTGCTGGGGGGGAGGGGAGGGAGTGGTGAAGTTGAAGAGGAAATAGGCATTTTCAATTTCTAAAATGGCAGGAATTTAAGCTTTAGGAAATTACTTTGAAATTAGAATGATGATTCTTGAAGAAGCAAATGATAAATGAAAAAACTCTTAAAACTCATCTAAAATTTCTGAGAAAGAAACAAATTGAGATTAAAAAATCTCTATGTTAATTGTCTGGAAAACTGGCCTCAAAATTAACCATAACTTAGAAAGAGATAAAATGAGAAACCTTTCCATGGATTATTCTTAGCTTAATAGCTTTCAATGTAAAGATTTCTGTGCCTTTCATTTTCATGAAAGTCAATGATTACGGTAGTGGTGGGATTTTTTTTTGCTAATCAAAACAATATTCAAATTATGGTCAGCCAATTATGATATTTTGTATAACACATAAATATTTTCTAGAATGTAAAGACATTTTCACACCTAACATCTAAGAAAAATAAACATGATTTCATTCCAATCCAGGGGCAGCTTGCTTACTGCTAGCTCCTGGGGTTGTGAGAAGAAAGGGAAAGGGAAAGGAGAAGGAGGAGGAGAAGGAGGAGGAAGGGTGGGAGAGACAGAGAAACAGAGAGAGAGAGAGAAAGAGAGAGAGAGACAGAGAGAGAGAGAAAGAGAGAGAGACAGAAAGAGAGAGAGACAGAAAGAGAGAGAGAGAGAGAGAGACAGACAGAGAGAGAAAGAGAGACAGAAAGAGAGAGAGACAGAGAGAGAGACAGAAAGAGAGAGAGACAGAAGGAGAGAGAGAGAGAGAGACAGAGAGACCTTCTTTGCTGCCGCCTTTGCTTTCTGCACGCTGTAAAGTTTCCTGCTTTCAGACCTGCCATCCTATTGGAGGAGCAGCAGCTCGGCCCACTGTACTGTGGGAACTGTTAGGACATGCCTGTTACTATGGTTACCACAGCCCGTCGGGGAGAGGTGCCTGTCAGGGACCAATTTACCTCTCCAGACGGGCACTGCCACCAAAGGGGGACATGGTGCCCTTAAATCTTAGCAGAGATGGAAACTGGAGCAACAATGGGCAAAACAAAATTACTCTAAACATCGGCTACCACAGAGAAAATCATCAGGCAAAAAAAAAAAATCTCCAATGTGGTTCTATTGATATGTGTAAGTAATGAGCAACCCACACAAACACGAACCCACTGTTCAAACTGCACGGCAAAGTGGGACACTGAATTGTTACATATTCTTCCACAAAGAAAGCACTAAACTGTGTGTGGCGTGGGGTAGTAAAGTTCACAAATGTATTTTAATCTATATAAATTAGAAGAATATATATGTTTATGTGTGTATGTATGTGTCTGTGTATAGTGTGTGTGTGCATATATATGTATGATAATTAGAAGAATGTATATATATACATATATAGCTAATAATGTTTTCCCTCCCCCTTGAGATTCATATAGGAAGGACTTCTTTATTTGAACTAATAAAAAATCATGATGTTCTGAAAATATGACTGCCTAAACAACAGAATTTTAATGCTATAGTAAGCATCTAAATGATGGAATAGAACAGAAATAAAGAATTCTGGGTGAAAATGGGATTTAGAAATAAGTTTCCCCTTTCATTTGTTTTATATATATATATATATGTATACATATATATATATATATATAAATTCTGAAGATCTTCCCAAAATAAATGCTTAAATTTAAGCCTTCTGAACATTTACATTTTAAAATATTTTACAATGCTTCTTTTACAGTGAAACGAGAAACATGATTTTTAAATTCAGTAATATAATCCACAGATTTACACAAAGAGAAATAAAACTTTGAAGATGATTAATTTGAGTATAAAGGGAATTCTGAGGGGAAGTCCTGAGTAAAATATAAAAAAAAAAAAATCTTCCAGAGTGTTCTGCCTCTTGCATTTATTTTTTAAATATAGTAACTTATCTATTTTAGTAGCTGCCAATAGGCACTTGCAAGTAATTATGGCTGACAGTACATTTGCACATCCTACTTGTACCCAGGGAGAACAGAGTTAAGACTCCAAATGCACATTAACATAGGAATCATGGCAGTTTCTGCTCTGCTTGTTTACGTCATCTCTGCTTGGAAACAGCCTGTTCACTGTTGATTATTCCAGGACCTTCTGGGTCCACCCCTAGAGAGAGCTTTGAAAACAACATTCTCTATGTGATTACAGAAATCACTGAAGGTGCTCGGTACCTGCGGACAGGAGCCGTCGAATCCTTCCTCAGACACGATTCTCTGGATGGAGTGAAGAAGCTTTGTGTAGCCATGGGTCAGAGCACTGTGGGTAAGAAACAGCTCATGGAGTATAAATGAGTTGATTGCACAGCACATACACAAAAGTCAATAAAAGTATTAGGTGATCTTTCAGTTCTTGAGCCACAATGAGTTTAGCATTTAAGTAAAAGGTGTAAAGGAATAAAGTTATACTTGTGAAGATCCTAAATACAAATGAAGATATTCTGAGAACAAATTGCAATTGCCTCATGTTAACTAGTTCAGTGCCCCTGATACATTGGGAAAGGTAAAAATCTGCAGAGACTAAGATGGCTTAATTATGTCAGGCTCAGTTACCTCCTAGAAAATTAATGATTTAGTGAAGCAACTTAAAAGCTGAAACCACTACAGCATTTCAGGAGTAATCATAGATAATTAACACATAGTTAATGAACTGCTATGCCAAGTACACCTGATCAATGTCCCGATCACCTGAGCTCATCTTCTAGCAGTTTTAATTTTCTCACAACAACCTGCTTTAATAATAGTAATTAAATAACTTGATATTTTAGCATAAATGAAGAAAAATAGGCACAGTCTCCAGTGAATTTAATATTTCCTCCTTTCTTTTCATATACACACACATATGACTATTAGGATAGTAAATTTTTGGCATACAGTCTAAAATTATTCACATTACAAATATTTCTCTCATAAACATGGAAACTCTTCTCATTACTGTTAGCATTTTGAAGCATTTTATAAGCATTGTGAAGACTAAGTTAATAAGGTTCTGGAGAATAGCTGTTCCATGTGCACTTAAGCAATTTTGTGGTACAGGACCCCAAGTATCTGCTTTATGGTGAAAAGCCATAGAACAATCATGCAGACAAGAAATGCTTCAAAGACAGACTAATGTGTAAAGCAGTGAGACACGATCGGAAAAGCTAGCCAATATAATAAAGAGACTGCACTAGTGTGAGGAGATTGGAGGCTAGCTGGCTCAGCACACACATCTGAACAACTCTATAAAGGCCATTATTGTCGATTAACATTTGGCTATCATCCACAGCTGGACACCTAGAAAGATGTGGGACATACGCAAAGATTAGCCTCTGCTGAATGTAAAAGGAGCAGTGAAGAATGAAAACATGTTTACTACTCTGTTAAAATACTGTGTACACAGAAAAGAAAGGTAAATAAAGGTACCTGTAGGTAGCAGCAGCTATCATTTTTCAAAAGGGAAGCTCTACTTGCAAACAAAGTGAAAAGGAGAACGTCGTTGGGAGGAAACATCTCTAATGGGCAATAACATCATGATTTTATATATTAACCTGTGTATGTCTGTGTTAGTGAGTTCAGTTGACTAGAACACAGTCTTAATTTTTGAATATGATGGGTTCAGTTCCCCTATGGGCCAGTAAATTTTGAAAAGGAGCAAAAAACAAACCCAACCTATTTTTATGCTGCAGTTTGTATCTCTATGTGAGTTAGTCATTTTACAAATTCAAATGTTGGTCCAAGAGAGCCTAGGCCATAAAAGATGAAATACTTAGGGCATCTTTTCTCCCTGAAGAAGCAGAAATGAACTCAAGACTACTGATCATGGGTCATTAGGAGTTCATATATTTACAAGACAAAGTCTGTTAAGGCTTTCCTCATACACAAAAGGTTCCTCTAAGTATGCATTTTATTGTGTTATTTTTACTTGTCTGGATAAAAATTAGGTGTGATATTGTGTATTTTTATCCTGGAATGCTGTATTACCTACACCACAAACAATATCTGTTGCTTCTGCCACAGTCACACATTCTTAAGTAGATTCAAGTAGGTTCATTTCAATTCTATAAGCATTTCTTAAGTGCCTATTAAGTGTCAGGCTCTGAGGATACAAAGACAGGAAGAGTTCCTGTACTCAAGTTTACCTTCTGGAGGAGGGAGTGGGGGAATGGAGGGTGAGGAATTTAACATGTATACAAGATAATCTGAGGGAGGAAAAAGAGAGCACTAACAAAGGCAAAAGGAGGAGAGGAGAGGAGAACAGAGAAGAAGAGACAGAGAGGAAGGGAGGGAGGGAGAAAGAGGAAAGAGAAAGAGTAGAGAAAGGAAAGAGAGAAAAAAGAGAGACAGAGAGAGAGAGGGAGAGGAAAGAGAAGAGGATAGAGGAGAGACAGAGAGAGGAGAGAGAAATGGTGGAGTGAAGGAGTGAGAGAGAGAGAGAGAGGAGAGACAGAGAGAGGAGAGAGAAAGGGCGAAGCGAAGGAGTGAGAGAGAAAGAGAGAGAGGAGAGACAGAGAGAGGAGAGAGAGAGAGAGGAGAGAGAAAGGGCGGAGTGAAGGAGTGAGAGAGTGAGAGAGAGACAGAGAGACAGAGAGAGACAGAGAGAGAGAGAGAGAGAGAGAGAGAGGAAAGGAGTGTGCATCCCAGGCACAGAGGTGGGGAAATGGGTTAGTGAACTCCGGGGAACAGCAAGTGCACCAGTTTGGCTAGAACGTGGAGTGTGTCAAAGGGAATGCTATGAAGCAAGTCAAGAAAGATAAGCGGAAGCCAGTTTAGAGAAGCCTTTAAACGCCAAACTGGTTAGTTTGTCATTTATCCTAAAGGCAAGAGGGAGCCACTGAAGACATCCCTGTGCTGGGAGGAACATTTTGGCAGGCATGAGGAGGATGGAGTGGAAAGACAAGAGATGCATTCACAGACCAAGTATAACACATGGGTGCAAGATGAAAAGGTCATGAACCGAGCCAGTAGCCCTGTGAGTAAAGAGAAGCGGGCAGATGTAAGACATACTGTGGGAGTAGAACTGACAAGAAGTGGAAGCTGATTGCACACGGGGGCTGAGAGAAAAAAAAGTCAAGGCTGAGTCTGAGTGCTTGAAAGGACGATGGTGGTCTCTACAACAATTGGGGATTTTGGAAGGGTGTTTTAGTGATAGGAAGATAATGAGTTCCAGTTTGGACATGTTGAATTTGAGATGCCCACAGGCAAGATGTCAAGCAAGTAGTCAACCCAGTGGAATTCAGGAGAAAGATCAGTGTGGTGTCACGACTTGTAGCTTGAGGTTTAGTTATGGAGACCTGGATTCAAACGGTATTTCAAATACTTGCTAGGTGTGACTGGACAAATCACTTAATCTCTCTTAGCTTTAGTTTTCTCATCTATAAAAGGAGGTGAATACTAGCAGTAACCACAGGATTGTTGTGAGGATCAAATGAGAAAATGTGTGTAGGATTTGAAATGCTACATAAATCTGAGTTATCATCTTCCTTATTGATAGATTGGGTAGTAATTTGCATAGCGATAATAACTGAACCCCTGAGGAAAGGTGTGTGTGATGAGTTTTCCAAGGGAAAGAGTATGAAGAAAGAAGAGAGGAGGGTACAGGGCAGAGGTTGGGGATACCCACACTCAGTGAGTGGGAGATGACTGATGACCCAGCCCAGGAGTGTGAGGAATGGTCAGACTGGTAGCATGAGGACTGACAGAAATTAGCTACAAAAAAATCAAGGAAGGAGATCAGATAAGAATTGGCTGGGGGTTGGGGGGTAGGGAGGAGATGGTGGAAGGTCACAGTATCAAATGCTGCAAAGAGGTCAAGGAAATGAGGTTTGATAAAAGGGCGCTGGATTTAGCAATTAAGAAATTATCAGTAAGCTTGGAGAGGACAGGCTCAGTGGAGAAGGAGAGATGGAAGCAAGGCTGTAAGAAAAATGAGGTGTAAGAAAATAGAGGCAATGAGTAGAGACACATTTTTAAGAGTCATTAAAGTCTATCTAACATTTCCCTGAAAGAGTCGCTGACTCTGCTGCTGTGAGAACAGCAACGACCCCACATGATATTCATGAAAATATTTTAAGCTTCTTTCTCACTTCAAGGTTGCCACTCTGTTATATAAACAGTGAAACATTTTCTCAAATAGGGTAACTCTTCTAGGAGAAATAAATATTTCCATTACCAAAATTAAAATAAAAAAAAGGCATGAATTTAAATTGGATTGATAATAAATATAAAATCCCTTGATAACAGATATAAAAATCCCTTCTTCTCCCCCCGCCTCCCTTTTCTTGTATTTGTGGTAAACTAGTAACACAAACACCAGGCAGATAAGGTAGATAGATCTCTTTGGTACAATAGTGATGGGATGAGACATAATGAGGAATTTGAACATTACTTTCTAAAAGTTCATATACCATAACTGGCTGAAAGACCCACTTTTTATGGCACATGGATATTTCCCTTGTGACAAGGCTATCTACAGCCCACGCACACTGCAAAGGATGACTTGTGTGTGTTAAACAATACATCAAGGACCTCTAGAAGAAAAAGTAGGCAAATGGATGGCGTTAGGGTGTCAGTGGTACTGTGAAATCTAAAAAACTTCAACATTAAAATATTAAAGGAATCTGAGGCTAACACAGAATGGGTTGCAATCTGTACTAGTAGGAGAGAGAACCACAGCTATGAGATAATGGAGCCTTCAAAGTACTGAAGCAAGTTCAGCTATTATTTTGTATTTATTTTAAATAAAAATCCCAAACCTCCAGTGAACAGTACTTACTAGGAGCGTAATTTTCAAGCCTTGCCTAGAGCACACAAATGTCTTTCCCCTGCTCTACTAAATACTTTACTGAACCTTTTGATAGTGAATTATTATATGTAATTCAATTTATACTTTGAATTATGTACAATGAAAATGTTATTAATAATAATAATAATAGTTAGCATGTCTAGAGATTTGATCCACACAACAACCCTGAGAGGTATGTGCTATCATTATCCCCATTTTACAGATGAGGAAACAGAGGCAGAGAGATGTTGAGTGACTTGCTCTATCCACTGCCCCACCAACTACCTCTAAATGTTAATTAAACCTAAAAGCTGATTAGGCACAGCAAATTTATAAGATGCATATTCCTCTGGAATTATTTGTAACAATATTTATTTGACCAGAACAAATATAATAGTTTATTTTTTAAACTCTTCGTTATTTTAATTTTAATTTTGCTACTAAAATGTTTAAGTATGAAGAGTTTTATATATATATACATATATATATATAAATAA